GTGGGATAAGATCAGAACTCCACCACGATATTATCTCTGCTGCTACTGTTTCTGTTGTCAATAATGATGAGGATAGATAGAATTAACAGAGCAGAGCTGTGCTAGTCATCGTGCGTGCGCGTGCGAAGCACATGGTGCCTGCTACTTCATTTGTCACAACCACCCTGTGAAACAGGAGCGATTATCATTCTGAACGAAAAGCCCAAGGGCAGTGAGAAGGTAATAATTACCTGCCTGTGATAATTCAGCCAGGGGTGAGGGGCCTGGTTGTGAGCCTGGGCAATTTGACTCCAGAAGGTGCACTTCCGAAACCAACATGATATCCTGTGGCCTATGTATTTGCGGCAATTTTCAAGTCTTTTTGCCAAGGCAGCAGCTAGTGCGACAAGAGCTTTTCTGAGGCCCATCGGAGGGTGAGCTGTGCTTTTGTTTTCTTAAAGAGATGGTCCAGGTCCTTAGCTATTGATGTTATTCTAAGGTTCTTGAAAGTTCTTAACCCAGCCTTCCTTCCCTGGACTTAGACTTCTTCTTTATCACCTGGGAAACTCTCTCTCAGACATGGGTTATGCTACATGCTTGGAAGCAAAGAAACCCAGTGTGGCTGGTGGAACAATCCACAAAAAGGTCAAGCCACCTCATGGTATGATCCCAGTTATCCTTGGTAAAGTGGCTATAAGCCCTCCATACTGACCCCAAGGCAAGAGGATCCTATGTAGCTCAATCACTTTTGATAAGAACATTTTCAACTGTCCTTTAAAAATTTTACCTGTATATACCCAGCACACAGTAGGTGCCTAATAAATATTTGCTAAATAAATAGTTACATGAAAGGGAGCAACCTGGGACCCTGTGGACCTAGAAATGGACCTTCAGATCCTCCACCATGCTGACTTCCCCCCAAGCCCAGCCATGCAACTCAGGGAATCTCTGCAGAGGATTCATCCATGCTCTGTCCTCTTCTCCTCATATGGATGGGGAAGTCTCCCAACATTGGGGCAATCAGGCACAGGCAGCTAGGCAATGATAATGGAAAACCATGGGCTGACCAGTGCTAATGTGTTTTCTGAGAAAAACATAGCAGCCATGCTGGTGAGTTGTGTGTGCCAAAGAAAATGGAAAATTGAGAAAAAGAAAGCAAAACAATGCCTTATTCACCTGTTTCCCCATTCGCTTAGATAATGTGATTTAGTGACAAGACTAAGCAACAGAGCTGCAGACCAGTGTGCTTTTTGGCACCTAGGAAATGACCAATGAAAGCAACAAAGTGACAAATACTTAGCTACCTAGAAAGGCCATACTGGCCAGGCAAGGTCTTCCAAAGCTACATTGGTGATCTTCCATTTTTAGCTTTAAGATATTAACACCATAACAATAATATAGAATATAGTAAAGGTTGGCCAACGATGGCCATCTGTTTTTGTAAATAAAGTTTTACTGCAACACAGTCACCAGCACTTGTTTACCTACTATCCAAGGCGGCTTTCAAGCTACAGTGGCAGATTTGAGCAGCTGCCTCAGAGATTGTGTGGCCTGCAAAGCCTGAACTATTTACTACCTGACCCTTTGTGGGGAAAAGTGTAGAGCAGAGAAAAGCTCGAGTATATAAAGCAGTTAATGCAATTAATAAAAATCCTCCTATAAGATAGCAAATCATTTTATTTTACACTCTGATGAGAAATGTTTACTGGGTCAGCTGTGGATCAACGTCTCCTCTATGGCATCATTGTCTGCTTTTTAAGCTGCCTCTAATCGGCAAAATTATGGTTAAACCATGATTATCTTACTCCTAAGGGTCTCTAAGATGAGTTAGCAGCCTTCTACTCCTATACCATGAGCTGAGAGGGCAGAAGGCTGACACTTCAAAGGAGAACGTTATTAAATGCATACATGAATGAACAGATGGATTTACAACAAAGCACATTTGTGAAGCTGGAAGTGTAGCCTCCCTCTCTTAACAGCCAGAGTGTGTCACATTCCCCCTCTGTCCCGTGGCCATCGCTACTCCTGGCCACTCATCTCATATGTATGTTCATTTGGTCCAAAAGAGGAAAAACCAAGTGTCCTTGGAGATTCCAATTCATCACCAATCCCAGGGAGGACAAGTTTACGTCATAGGGTCATTGGCTTTTGTGCATGTTCTCAAATGTATTAAGACTAGTAAGTTATTTTCCTATTTACTCTAAATTAATCTGCATTTCCAAGTAACTGAGAAACATGACCTTAAAAATTATCATTTTCATTCAAATTTTACACTCAATTTCAAGGCAAGCAAATCTGTATTTCTAAAACTGGGCTGGAATTCTTTTTCTAATGAAATAGCAAGGCCAAGCCCTGAAAAGTATCCTGATGAAATTGACAGCATACCAGCAGGAGATGCACCAAATGGCTCGCTGAGATCTTCTCTGCATTGAACTTGTCTTAAAATAAATCTTAAAAATTTAAAAATAACCCGAAGGAAGCCATATCATACCTACCACATATGTCCTGCACCATCTGGCCGGCCACTTTTCTCTACAGCCTACTCCCCAGACACCATCTCTTCAGACGTCCACCTTGGCAAATTCTTACAGAGAATAACTGCACCTAAACTTTCTCTGTACCGTATTCATATAACCAAGTTAAAAAAATAGCAATACAAATCTCAAGATCCAGTAATTCGTAGATCATTACAAATAGTATCACATGCTCAATGTGACCCTTTTCGCTTTTTTGGCATACAAACCATATTCTAGAGGACAGCTTGTCTTCCTAAACAAAAAAAAACAAAAACAAACAGCCAAAAGTGCACACATTTTGCTCAATTAAAAAAAAAAAGTGTAAAATTGTAACTCTTTTATCACAAAGATTAAAACGGTTGTATTAAGTTTTTTAAACAAGTCAATAAATTGAAGTCATTTCTTACTCTGACTGTATCCTATCATTGATTTTAGATTGTTTCGAATTGGCTATATTTTTCTTCTTATGTGGTTAGGAGCTCTATCTAATACCTGGAATTCCGGAATTTATGTCAGCAACGATTCATAGGACCATAACTAGCCTGACTGTAGTTGCTTCAGGAGATTCCAATTTCCTACATACAAAAAATAACTTTCATCACGGATAGCTGTTTCTTCTTCACATAACAAAGCACACAAAGTTGTTACGATTCAGCCGTCTGTCCAAGCAGTGATTACGTGCTCCCAGCTTTTCCAGGTGCGTGTTTTCGCAAGTGAACGGACATCAAGTAAATGGAAGTAAATGGAAACATAACCTCCTTCTTTTTATTATTGGGTCTCATGATCTATCTCCTTTGATTCCGTCTTATTCATTTCCTCCACTTATTCCATTTCAGTGAATCTGCTTACTCAATTCTCACACTCTGATTTAATTTAATGCTTTCCATTTAAAAACTTTCATTTGTAATAATTTGGCATGCCTCACATCCGTCTGAGGAAACTTACGCTTGCTTTCCTGTAAAATCCTTGAATAGCTACTAAATATTGCTTGTGGATTTTGGTCATTAAGCTTCCATGATAGAAGCTCTGAGACTGTTAGAAACACAAATGCATTTCTTTAGTAAGGACTTGGATTATTCTTCCGATTTAATGTAAAGAAACAGCTCTCCTTGGAGGAGTTAGTGTATCGCGATAACTGGGTGTGTTGCCTTACTCCAAGTCCCAAACACCGACTAGAAAAGCTGAGGTCAGTTTATTCAGCTACGTTTAATTTACATTCTTAATAGACACTGGAATAACCATCCAAAGCCATTAATTCATAAGCAATGGGGTACTAGTCATTGGGCAGTAATATCCCAAATTAGGAGGCAGACATAGCCCCGATCACCAACCATGGAAGACAATCGGGAAAGGAGGATCGGAGGAGACAAATGATATGCCCATAAAAAACTCTGTGTGAAGTGACCAAATGTAGGATTCCATTTAGTAACTAAACTTCCTTGTTAAAAGGCTTAACAGAAAGGGGAGGAAAAAACCAGACCCACCAGCTTAAGAATATGCTACAGGACTTTCTATAAGCAATTATATTCTCGAGTGCTAATTTCAATAACACCAGCGTTTATTTTATAAACTGAAAACGCAACCTGAGGGACTGCTGGAGTGACGGGCACTCAGAACCATGCGTGCCTGTATTTCACGCCTATTTGCACCTGACTGACAACGGCGAGCAACCGGGAAGCCACGGAGGTATCTGTGTGAGTTTTGCCTTGCGTAGCTGGCAAATGAACTTGGTCATGTCAACGACGGCTGCTGCGGAAGCTGCCCTCCTGTCCAACCTTGGGGTGGGTCCAGTGATGATCAGAACCCCCAGGGCTGCCTATCAGGACAAAGGAGGATCCCCTTGTGGGAACGTGCTCTTACTAGAGCTTGTACTATCCACGGGGCGCTATCTTTCGGTAGCTTGGTACTTTGGGATTTCTTTTTTAAACCACACGGCCAGTGTTTATACATTTTGGCAATTTTAAAAGTGCCTCCGGGAATGATCTTCTGCTTCTAATCTTCTCTCTAAAACCACTGCTAATGAGTTTTCATATACAGGTTGTCAGGACAGTAGTGTAACCTGTAGATTTGTTATGAAGCAACACTTAAAAAAAAAAAAAAAAAAAAAAAAACCTGCAGCATGTAAGAGTAAATGGTGAGGAGAGACACGATTGTGTGAGTGGGCTTCTCTATCGGTTTAATGTCCCCTGCTTGCTTATAGGGAGAAAAACAAAAGGCATATTTTTGCAGAGACCAGAATGGCTTGCAGAGACCAAGATGGTGTTATTGGCCACAGGTGGTGAACACCATTTTAACAAAAATTTCAACAAAATCACCTATTTAAAAAAATTGCTACCAACCACGATTAACCCCTCCCAACCCCCTTAGACTCTTGATCATAATGGAAAGGACTCTCCCCCTTGTGTCTCACTTCCTTGGCTTGATGAACACTCCCAAGAGCCTCTCTCATTGCTGTCTGGCCCTTCGAATAGATTGCAAAGGAAGACACATGCCAAAAAAAAAAAAAAAAAAAGACAGGGTGGGCTTTTGGCGGAGAGAGGGAGGTTTGATCCAAGGATTGAATTAACCTACCGATTTTCAAATTAAATTGCTATGTACTTAATGCCAATGGATTGTAACTTAAAAACGGCTGAAACGGCTCATTTTATATTATGTGTATTTCATCATACTCTAAAACATAATTAATTTGAAAACTGCACTTGGTCTGCTTAGGATAAAAGGCTATTGTGTACAGAAAAAAGAAATCCTATATAAAAATGAGCAGCATTGACCCAGCATGCCAAGTGGAACTACATATATAATTGCCATTTTTAGAGGTTTAAAATGGTTCACTCTCAGCAATTTCTTACCATTCAACTACATATTCGTAAGTGACACGGACTTGTGCCTTCATCCTAGAGAATTACTACCGTTTAGTGACTGTCACTGGACACCAGAGCCGTGAAAAATAACCTTGGCGTGATGGCTTCTGACATTACAGCCCCTGCAGTTACAGAATATGTTTTTGTGCATTCGTGACAGGCTGTGACTTGGGATGAGGGAGCTAAATGACAGCGCAGTAAGATACCATTGACCTGACAGTGGCTAAGCTGATTCTCAGGGGGCATCAAAGTTGGAATCAGTTACAATTTAGGAAAGGAGAGATTAATTTTTAGCTACTATTTTCTTATCGCAAAAACACCTGTTTGGCCAAAAAGCCATTCTGGATAGCAACATTGTGATCTGTTCAAAGACTCTCTTTCAAGAACAGAAGCTTTATCTATTTTTCTCCCCCAAATCTCCAAGTCATAATTAGCAGAAGACAACCCCATTTTCATCAGCACCAGGTGACAGAGCTGACGTCCCGTCTCTCAAGGTCCAAGTGGAAATGATTATTACATGTCACAGTCCGGGCCTGATACACGGAAAGAGCAATCATGTTAGAATAAGAAAATCAGAAAAACCCCAATTTCTACAGCAGGAGCAGAAGCAAAGCGTACTGAGCACGCATGCCTCTCCGGGTCCTCCTCGGCTTAGCAGAAAACGACACATGCCTAGGAGTGAAATTACGATGAATTCTATTAATAAAAAAAGACAGTTTCCCCATCCGTCTGCCCAGAGTAGCAAGCCACAGACATCCTTCTATGAAATACCGTGTTCAGGAGAAAAGATTTGAAAGCGAAATAGGTTGAAGGGAGGCTGCTCTATTAATTTAACGTCAGCCACAGAGGTGGGGGGCAAAAACCCACCCTGAACACAAGCCCATGCCATTTGATTACAGAGACAAAACCAGGCTAACCCTTTTGAAGCACCCCCAGTGAAAAGCTTTAAACAGACTATTGTCAGAGCGCTGGGTACCTTTTCTCTCTTGGCTTTGTTCAGTATTTTCCTCGGCTGCAGTTTCCATGGCTGGCTTCATACCATCCACCAAAAATGCTTCTCCCCCTGCTCCCCCCAACACACACTTTTCTTCCCCTCCTCTTCCTTTTCTCTTGGACTCCCCTGCGTCTCTTATTTACACCCGCCTGATTGAGAGGCTCTGTTCTTCACTACAGTAGATTGCGGTCTCTTCCAAGATGCAAAAGTCTTGTCCGCGTCAATTTCGCTCTGCCTACTGGTCCATTAAGACAGCTGCCAAGGAGCGGGCAGCCATACGTCACCGAGGATCCCAGTTATAAAACAGCCATTCTGTGCTCGACCAGCCTCCAGCCTCAATGCAATGCGGCTCCCAGGGGAAGGGCCTGCTCCCCCACCAGGCTCGTCCTCCTTTCTCTTTTTCTTCAGCGCTAGTGCTCCTGCTCCGTGTGCTCTCCCCTCTCCCCTACTCTCTCTCAGCTCCCTTCTTTCTTCTAGCCAACTGCACCCAATGAATGCTAATGAATTCTCCCAGGAAAGAATAGATTTGTGACATCAGAGGAAGGGATGTGGAGGAGAAAGAAAGAGCCCCCTCCCACCACGTGACTCGTTGGTTAGCCACAAGAAAGGTTGTCTCTCCCTGGGAAGTGTGTCTCTGCAGAAGCACAACTCTTCTTTCCCACGCGCCCCCTTGATGGTGCATCCTAGTTCGATTTCATTTAGCCCCGGACCCTTGCAAAGCATATTCCGAGGACGTGCCTGTGGTCTCTATTTTATTGGCTTTCTTTAATATTTGTCTTTCGTACAATTTCTGGGTAGAGAGATTTAAGTATATATATATATATATACATATATTTAGGAGTGGAGGGAAGAAATACATAAGGGGGAAAGAAAACTCAAACAGGGATTTAACGATAACAGCAATGCAGCAATTCGGTATTAGAATCCACTCTCTTGTCTATAGTTCTTAATATATGTGATAGTAAAAGAAACTTTTGCTCCAGCCCAATTTATGAAAAAGTACTTTTACTTAGAAATAAGTGTATAAGTAATATTTAGTTAACATTTTGATGGTTTCTTGGAATGACCATCAGAATAGTTTTCGGTTTGGGTTTTGGGTTTCTTTCTTTTTTTTTTTTTTTTGGGGTGTGATTTTTTTTTTTGAAT